AAATATACATTAATATTATATATATATCTCAAATGATAATGAAACCTTTTAGGAAGAGCTCTGTAAAGAATGCCAGGGTGTGCACAAGAGAATTTGTTTTCCTTTTTCTTAAAGCCAGGTTATGAGTGTCTAAAGCCACTAGGTAAATTTTACTTCTGAAAAATACTATTGGCAAACGTTGGGATGTAAAATCTGTAGGTAGACTTCATGTAGTTTGACATCTTTCTCGAAACAGAAAATCTGCCAGACAATAGAAGTTCATGGTATCTAATAAACAGAAATTGCTTTTTGAAAAGTATTTTCTGTTAAATAACATTTTGAAAGCTGTATTGACTTTTATTTCTGTTTAAAAGTCTCTAGAAATAATATTACTGTTTATCTTCACTCATACATAATTTCTTTCTATTAAGAATTGGCTTTTGGGTTCTTGCGGATCCTAATGGGGGCAGTGAAGGAGAAGAGCATATTCGGGGAATTATGGCTGAAGCAAGGAAAGTTGCAGAATTGTGTGAGGAGCCTAAAGAAAGAGATGATATCCTTCGTTCCTTGGGGGAAATCTCTGCTTTGACAGCTAAGCTGTCAGATCTGCGGCGACAGTATGTATTAGTTTTATGACAATTAATTTATTTGAATGCATTTCATTTGCAGTTCAAAGTGCTGAGCAAAATCAGAATATTGATGATTAATTGGGGAATATATTTTCCTTCAAGAACTGGGAATGGACATCTTATCCTTCTGAGTTTCTATCCTGCATTTAGTAAAAATTGAATGAAATTGAATGTGAGGAATTGTTCTGTTCCCGGGGGGGAAGCTAGCCTTTTAACATCTTTTAAAAAATATAATTTATAAAATATGGTATCCTTTTTAATGCTTCAACCTAGTGATTTCTATCCCAAAGCGCAACTTGCACTATTCTATCTTCCTCAAAAAAAAAAAAAAGAGTTGTAACTAGAGTTGTATTACCTAGAAAATATTTTCTTTACACTGCCTATGGAATATTTGACAGCAAACTGAAGCCAAAAGTGAGCTCCTTAGTACTGTCAAAGCACTTCAAAGGAATGAGATAATGTGGAATTTGTTTATACAGACAAATGTCATCACTGTTTTTTGCTAAGCAGTTCACTAAATGGCAAGGTAGAATATCTAGCACTTCAGTCAGCATCAGTGTTCTAAGCTGTAACAGCAAACTATATAAAAGATAAGAGTTTCAGTAAACCCTGTTACCCTGGGTTCAGTGCTCAGCTGCAAATGGTATTTCTGTATCAGGTTTGCAAAGAGGATGCTTGAGAATGAAGCGGAGAAACAGTTATTGTATAAATTGTGATCTTCATCTATGGCCAGTTGCAATATGGAGATAAATACTTTTCTTTCTTCACTAGACACTTTAATCAAGTTTTTCTTGTTATTTAAGACCTGCAGTAGCTAATGTGATACCTCTTTTCAAGTTTATATATAGCCTTGGGTCTGCTGCTTACTTTTCTGCTTGTAATCTGTGTGGCATAATTGCAGTTGCTCATAAGACAGCCATGAGTATGGGAAATCAAAGTCATACATCAGTATTACCAATGACAGTACTGTGCCTTCCTCCACCTCAGTGCTGTGCTGAACATATGTAATATCCAGGTGCCACAGCAGAGAAGTGTGAGGTGGGGATTTATGGATGACAGATCTGCGTTATTTGCTGTGAGACCCAAGTGTCAAATTTAACCTTATTTGAAAGGATGAAGTACCTTTCATTGTGTCTTCCTACTGAATTTGGGACTAGCTGTAAATGATCTTTGTATGACTATACTTTTTTTTTAATCCTTAGTGGGAAAGGTGACTCTCCTGAGGCCCGTGCATTGGCTAAGCAAATTGCTACATCACTTCAGAATTTACAGTCCAAAACAAACAGGGCTGTAGCAAATACTAGGCCAGTTAAAGCAGCTGTCCATTTGGAGGGCAAGATTGAGCAAGCTCAAAGGTGGATAGACAATCCTACCGTGGCTGATCGGGGAGTAGGTAAGTGGTTCCGTGTGCTTGTCTCCCCGCAGTTTTATGGTTAAACTTGTTAGTAATTTTTATGACTCAAACTACTGCTCCTGGGATGCTGAGGATGCATGGAATCTCTTCACTGATGTGGAGACCTGCAGTTTGTGGTCAAGTCCTGGCTACAATATTATTGAGTTGAGCTGGCCCACGATTCTCTTTGTCTTCTTGAAAGCACAACTTTGGTGAAGAATAGGAGAAAGTGTGCTGTAGAACAGACAAACTTTAGACTGCTCCTTGCTCTTATCATGCAAACATAGTATGTCAAATTTGAATTTATACCTACTCCAGCAAATTGAGTGATTAAGTCCTTCAGAGAGGAGAAAAACATTCATAAACTTGACCTAAAAATATAATTTCTTACATGGTTTCTGGGTTATCTGGGGAGAATGCTGCTTAGTCAAAGAGAAAGGTGATCTGAGAATCCAAGTGTGCTATCAGTGGTCATATAATTATGGTTCAGGAGCTGCTCTACTGAGAGCTTATTGTACACCATTTCTGAAATTTCTTCTTTAGATGCTTCTGATGCTATTGCAAGGAGGTGGATGAAGCTTGAAAACTGGGTTCAGTAGTTTTGCTGTAGCAGTTAAGTCTGAGCAGTGCAGTTACATCTGAACAGTGCAACTGAGTAGAAATGTGCCTTATAAGTAGTATAACTGCAGACCTTTAACACCTCTTTCTCACACTTTTCCCTATCTGTCAAGATAACCTCTGTTTTGTGAATAACCGATGACAGATCCTTGAATTAAAGATTTAGTGATGTTGATAGCTTGGACACGTGTGAAGTGCAAATTTATATGCAATATTTTAAACAGAATTGTGGAGTTCCATGTTTTGACATTTTCTGATGACCAAATTGCACACCGAACGAGATGACCAAGAAGGCAATAGATAGGTCTAATGAGATATTTTGGAGGTGGCTGAAAACCTTCCTAACTTCAATGTTTCTCTTGAACATAGTAACCTGTGAGGTGCTTGGCTCAAAGAAGCACAAACCCTAAACTTTTTATTTTTAATTCAAAAGAAACAAAGGTAACTCTAATCCTGCTTGCAGTCTGTAAGTGCCTAGTTAATCATGAGGCTTGCATACATACTGAAAGCTTCCTGAAATAACTGAAATTTCTCAACACTGGATACATAATACAGAATTTAATCAATTGCTGTAGTAATAAATATGACAAAAATGTGTGTAGAGATGCAAGATGTTGCATGTCCTATAACTTTAATGTTTCTAGTTTAATGAAGAAAAATTCTAGTTGTAACATGATGTAATTGTTCAATTTTTTTCATTTAAATGTCTTTCACTTGCATTGGCCCTTGTCAGGGTGCTTATAGGAAAGGTATATTAAGAATATAAATCAGATATGTGCTCTCTTCAGTCTGGACAGCACTTCTGGTAGAATTTGGCATGGTATTTTCAGTGCTATGATAATGTGAAAATACTTCAGTGTTCTCTGCAGTAGTAATGACCATGTCACAAATAACTTGGTGTGTTTGCAGTTATCCCAGGCTAGTGCTTCAAGTGAAGCACAAACTGAATTTTGAAGTAAGAAGGCAGAATGTGTATTTTATTTTATAAACACGTGAGCCACTTCAGTGGTGTTAGCTGCTACAAATACTTACATGCAGTCATATTACGAATTATCCTAGCTAAGTGATGGCTAAAGTACTTTAATTGGCAGATACAAACTAGGCAAGATGTATTGAAATACTAAACTGGTGTGTGATGTCTACTTGCTTGGCTCCACTTGACTTCTGCATAACAACAATTAGAAAGTATTTTGGCACAGTCCAACAGCACCAAACGTAGCTACACTAATAAGCTTTCTGAAATGACGGTGGCAGTGCTGAAGTGGTTCCTGGAGAGTCAGGTCCTGTGACAACATCCTTCTAAGTAGTTTTGAGCTTGATCGTGAACTTGGATTACTTGTGTGTTAGCAATGGCTTAAAATGATTCTTCAGTAGGTCTTTAAAGGACTTAATATACGATGACTCCTTTTAAAAGGAGAATTACTACTGTATTGAGGAGCATATTCTTGTGAAAGAACAGGAAACTTCTGTAAGTGAATGAGGGAAATCACCCACGCTAAAAATAGAAAAACTTTTTGACACACTGTGGAGGCTTTATAAGGATTCCACCACCTCCCCTCCACTACCTCCCTCCCGCCCATATCCTGAACACTTGCCACTTCTTACCCATGATTTCTGGAATCCTGGGAGGGGGTATTCTGCTTTTTATTTGTTTTCTACTTGGCTTTTCTCCCCCTCTTCCTGCTCATCTTGTAATGACTTCCAATGATGTGAAGATGAATGGCAATACTTGGAATTTGCAAGTACTTTCTGTTGGAGTCAACAGATTAGTTCTGTAGGAATACCTGACAGCTGTAACGGTTAACTCTGTCTGGCCACTCTAGTTAAAAAGGATGCACCTCTAGCCAGAGTTGCTGTAATAAGCAAAAAGAAACTGGCGAGAGTTGAGTTCCTCTATGGGTTTGAACTCCAATTACTTAATGATAAACTGCAGAAGATCCTTTCCACTGCCTAGAAAGGTGTTCTTATAAACCCAAGAATTCTGAAATGTCACTTACTTCATAGTGCATCTGATTTATGCTTTCAGTTTTTTGTTCCACTGGATGTTAATGCAATGGGACTTCTTCCACTGTAGGCCAGGCAGCAATTCGGGGTCTGGTTGCAGAAGGTCGCCGTTTAGCCAATGTCATGATGGGACCTTATCGTCAAGACCTGCTTGCTAAATGTGACCGTGTAGACCAGCTGGCTGCTCAGCTAGCTGACCTTGCAGCAAGAGGGGAGGGAGAATCTCCTCAGGCCCGGGCAATTGCTGCTCAGCTTCAGGACTCACTGAAGGTAAAAAATCTGCTCTTGTGCAGTGAGATGTGTAATATGCTGAAATATTTGTACTCCTTTGATAAAGTGCCTGTGTGTGGGAGGCATCAATAAAAACAAAAGTATGGCAAAAAAAACTGTTGGTTTAGCTGAGATGCTTTAAGCAAACTTTCTGCAAAGTTCTTGATATCATGCCGTAGGGATTAATTCCAAATGAACAATTTAGAGGTAAAACCAATGTCTCATTTTAAAAGAAAATAGTACGCATTGCAAATTGAGGGGCAGGGTCTCAAATTGTGCTGTTCATAGCTTCTGATGCTGCTTCAAGGAGTGGTATGTAAATTTCTGGTATCTCAAATTGTGTAAAAAGTGATTAATTGATCATGCTTTTAAGATTATTTTATCTTAATGGCTGCCATTGTAATGAGCTTTTTTTTCAAGAAGAGGTTTTATGGATTTGAATCCCTACAAACTTAATATTCCTATATCATATGCTAATAATTTTACTTTTTTTTTTAAGGATCTTAAAACACGGATGCAAGAGGCAATGACCCAAGAGGTTTCTGATGTTTTTAGTGACACAACAACTCCTATTAAATTGTTAGCAGTAGCAGCCACTGCTCCTTCTGATGCTCCCAATAGAGATGAGGCAAGTATACCCAGGTGGTCTTTTTCCCAAGTGACACTTCAGTTATTGTTTAATTTTACCTGAGTTGTTACTTGGAAAAATGAATCTTTTTTTTTTTTCTTTTTCCCCTCAAGCTTGTGGTATGTGCTTATTAAGTCTGACAGCATAAATGATTGTCATGTCATGTCCATTCTCTGGACTCTTGGAGATTGCAAATTGTGCTGTATATGCCTGGAAACTGTATTGTCCCTGACTTCAGTAAATGGCAAAGATTTCTCCCTATGATGTTTGTACCATGTTGCCTTCAGCTTGCTAAAAATTCTTGTGCAAAAGTCACTGACACCCTAGTTAGTGGATTGTATATCTCAACGTTATATAAGCTGAATAAAATAGTCAAATTTGTGCCAAAATTGATCAACAGATTTAACCTGTTCTTCTGCTGTATGATGTTTCCTGTACTTCAAAGCTACTGGCTGTATGTGAAGTATCTAAAACTCTGTGGCTGGCAGCTCTATTTGGCTAGTTGATTTGAACATGTTCAAAATGATTCCCAAGGCCTTGGGGAATTTAGCTTTGACGGGATACCTTTTTGTCAAAGTATTCTGTGCCTTGAATAACTAAGGGTTGTGGAAGGAGGGATTTTTTTTCTTCCAACGTGAAGCTTCAATTTTTTAGGGTAAAACCCCATATTTATCTTCCAAATATAGTTACTTTTGGATTATGGGTTTGAAGATTAATGTCTGTGAGCTACAATAGTTTTAAGACAGTATTTGTTACAGCAGTAGTCATCAGGAATTAGTGTACTTAATACCTCAAAGCTGTAAAGTGTGGTAGTATCCTTTGTTGCCCAGATGAGTTAGTAAAGAAGAAAGTCCAGTAATGCAAAGATTAAAAAAAAAAAATAGCTTCAAAGCTTTTGTGTCCTGTTGCAACCTCTCAGGAGATGCATTAAGGGTGAATGTTATGAAGGCGTCTCTGGTATTTGACACTTTGAAGAAATTATGTATTCTTTTGGGAAGTTAGGCTTTTTTAATGTGTTTTTTGTCTCTCTTCTGACAACTAGGTATTTGATGAAAGAGCAGCAAACTTTGAAAACCATGCTGCTAGGCTGGGAGCTACAGCAGAAAAAGCAGCTGCAGTTGGAACTGCAAATAAAACTACTGTGGAGGGCATTCAAGCAACAGTGAAATCAGCCAGGGAACTTACCCCACAGGTTTGCTTCCTTAGTCTCAAAGGGCTATTAAAAGGGCTGGGACGACTTCTGTGGAATTTTCTTTATGCCTCTGCTATCAGAGAAAGATGTTAATACCAGCAAGGAACATAGTGCTGACACTTAAAAGGGGAATGGCAAATATTTGTGTATATGATACCAAGTAGAACAAACTGATTAAATGACATGTCTTACTCTTCAACTTTTGCACAGAAGTTAGTGACTCTTCCTTGAAACAAAATTACTTTGAGGCTTAGTAAAATACGTAAGTGGAAAAAATGCTCTTTAATGAACATACTTCAGTGCTTTCAAGAAGTGTTTTTTAAATGATAAACAGTTTTTGATATATAAGCATGTAATTGAAGTTCGAGAAAAACTTATTTGTACCAAGAAATTCAGAAGCATTGTAAATCTTCAAGTAGCTAGATGTTGAACTAGAACTAATGAACTAGTATGCCAAATGACGAGCTACACACCCAGTCCTGAAAAATAAGTGTATTTTCAGGAATATGTGTGAAGCTGTTATATACTGATGCTTCCATAATTAAAAATGTTTTCCATTGGCAGGTAGTATCAGCTGCTCGTATCCTCCTGAGAAATCCTGGAAATCAAGCTGCTTATGAACATTTTGAGACCATGAAAAACCAATGGATTGATAATGTAGAAAAAATGACAGGTAAAGTAGGAATTTTTGTTGAAGATTATACTTGTGGCTAACTAGCTGGTATAGATTTTTTTTTCCCCATTCTGTTTGGATTGATGAAACATGCATAAGAGTAATGACTCATTAAAAATAGAGAAGTGGGAATGTGCTCTCTGACTCCAGAAATAGGTATATGTTACAGCATATACAAAACACCTTGATTCATAGGTGTTAATTTTGAACTGCAAGGGAGCAAATTTGGCTTTAGTTCTTTTGTGGGAAAACCAGAATACCATTGTTTTTTTATTGTGATTGCTATTCTAGCAATGTATCACTGTAGCAACTTGAGGTTTTTTCTATGTAATCTTGGCATGTTGAATGAGGACAAATAATTAAGGGGGGGCAAGAAAACATGTTTAAAATGATGTAACAGCTTGCTGAAAGCAGTGAATAAAACAAAGCTACTGATCTACTGAGTCTTGCTGAGATGCTTAAATGTTTCAGTCTTTCCAAAGAGCGCAGATCCTTTGCACTGGTCTGCTAATCTCCTGACTGTATACTACCTCCTTCTCCACCCCCATAATTAAATCGTGGGTATCTTAAATCTTACTGCTTTGTCACTGTATACCATCCTTAAGTAAAAGCACAGCCAGAGGGATATTGCCTTTCGAATGAATGGGGGAGGTTTAAAAAGTACTGAATATGATTAAAGAAATTTGGTGGGAGGAAGGAAGCTCTGTTGCACGTACTGTGTAAGCCAGTTCTTGACTCAAGCAATATTCCATGTTAGATGAATAAGAGCTTGGGATGCCATTAGTGGGAGCAAGTCTGACCACGGTTACTGTGATACAGGTACCACCTAATCAGAAGTAAAACTGCAGACATTTGGTCTAACTTCCATGCCCCCGTCTGCCTCCCC